TGCTGAACCAAAGCACTGTTTTTAGAGTGTCATTTGGATTCCTTGCTATGTTTGACATTTGTATTTCCTCAGCGTTCTTTAGAAATGAAGTTTGCTCAGTGAAGTGTTAAACTGAATAAAAGAAAAGAGGAATGTTGCTTGTTAAATGAAATACTTTGGTTTTGATGAGTACAGATCAGGGAGGAAGTATCAACTTGCACATCCCTTAAAACTTAAGCTACCACTTAGCTTTAAAACGACAGTTGGCAAGATTAATCTTCATTGTTATTCTCCAAAGTAGAACATTACTATGCTGACCCAAAGTATTATTTTCAAGGTCCACTCTTTTTTTTTAATCACCTTTTTAAACAGTATCATAAACAAAATTTGTGTACTTGGAACATTATCTGGAGTCTTCTGAATATTGTTAGTAAAATGCCTGTGCTGAAGGTCACTCCTCAGTGACCTATTCTTTGTAAGGCAAAGAGTTGCATCCTGTGAACATGTTCTGAAGCACAGTTTTGTGAGTTTGGAGCAGGCCTCTGATGTCTGAGACCCTTTCACTAAGCACATGTTAAACTGCTTATACCAAAGACTAACCAGCCTTGCATCGGTGTACAAAACCATCTTTTCTGTGCATGCAGTTTACACTCTGACTTCCAGAGAGACGGAACAGTTGCAGAAAGAGCAGTCCTACAGTGTGTTATGCTAAAGCTATCTTTGAGCAGGGATTTAACGTTGGTTATAATATCTGACTTTACTAGTTGTTTATAATAATACTGTGACTATGTTAAGGAAATGCTGAATTTGGAATAAGGCTGTAAGGAAGGAGATTTAGGTCAGTTTAGTGTCTTGTTTAGTTTGCAGCTTAAAAATGAAGCTGTGTAAGCTGTTGATTTTTATGAGTTATGCTAAGATTTCTGTTTGAAGTAAAAGAACATGAAGAAAAGGCTGTAACAAAATAGTTTCTGAGTATGGTTGACAATTAGTAGGTAATGAGATTTCATTGTTATACTTTAGCTGTATTATTGAGTAATAGTAATTTTTTTTTGTTTTAACTGGGAGTTGTATGTCTTTAGTTTTTTTTATTTTAAATTATTTGAAAGATGCCAAGTATCATTATTTTTTCAAATGTCTCTAAAGTAACAGTACACCAGGAAGGCACTTTCCCCCCTCCCTCCTTCCATATCTTTCAATGAACCCACATTTTTTGGCTAGCATGTATCAAAGCTGTATCCAGAGTTCATTGTTGTAACGAAGATAAATTGAGCAGAATTAAAGACAGCTTAGGCAAAACAAAATGTGTATGAGGAGGCATAAAGGTGCTTTTAAAAGAAGAAAGTGTATGTAGAAAGTGATTTTTTATTTGGTGTTGTCTGACCTGGAGATGAGATGAGTATAGCTGAAGTATCAGGAGAAGCTTTGGTGGGCAAAGGAAGGGAACTGTTACTACAAATTTGAGATTGATGAATTTGACAGCTATGATCTGAAAGCCAGAAAATTAAGCAGGCTGGTAACCAGGCTGCACCTGTGGCATGGCTTGTCTTCATCTGGATGCTGATGTCTTTCCCTTCTGCAGCAGCGTTTAAACAGTAAAATGTGAGTGAATGGTAGTTGAGAACAAATAAATGCCCAGATTACTATGGCTATCTTTCCCAGAACACCAAATAAAAAGCATAGATGGAAAAAGAAGCATTCCCTTTTTGCTTTTGCTATTTGTCTGGTCTCTTAAACTCTCTGTTGAAGAAATTATGGTTAAAGAATCAGCAGTTAGCTGGAGGTTTTAAGGAAAAAAAAAATATTCTAGGTTTTTGTCTTTCTACTTGATAGGACATATACAGAACTGGTCTTTATAGCTTACTGTATAATGGCATTGTACATGGCTCATATACTGACATGAGACTGAAATTTGCTGTACTTAAAAGGTGAGATAATGCTGATGCATTTATACTTCCTGAGGAAGTAACACTGACTTCTGCATGTCCTGGTCTTTCTGTCCATTTCCATAACCCATAATGGCACAGTGCTAAAGATTATAGGGTGCTGAGCACTTTTCTGATCACTAGCTTTTTGCCTTTCAGCTTTTTATAATCTATTTTATTTATTGTTAGGTTATTTTTTGTGTTATTCTGACATTGTTTACAAGACATGACCTGGTCTTTTCGAGTCCCAGACAGCAAGGTGATGATGTTTGCAGCTCTCTCCTCACTAAAGGAAGTATTCGACATGTTTCAGTAAAATAATTTTCATGGTCCTGGATAAGGGCAAGGAAGAGGATGACCAGTTTCTTGAATTTCAGCAAATGTGCTAGCTGCAGCTTTACTGGGCAGCCTGATGTTACGTTCTACCTTCATGTCTGAGAAATGGAGGTAAGCCTCCTAAGAAGTAGGGAGAATGATGAGAAATGGACTGAATGGAATGGCTTAAGCCTTAGCAAGCTCCAAGTGCTGTCTACATTCTTACAGCCGAGATACAGATGGTGATCAAAGGCATTGTGAGGGTCATGTAACTTAAAACTAGTTGTATAAAGGAATCCAATATTCATATTTGAAACTATATTTGAATCCAGTATTCATATTTGAAATTAAAATAGGTGTTTTGTGAAAAACACACCTTTTTTTTTTTTTTTTTTTTATGTTAAAGCGAGTATCAGAAGTGTGTCTTGTCAAGTTCAGAAAGCTATGTAAGGCTTTTGAGTCAAGTGTTGCTTTTTAAGGAGGAAGGGGAAAATACTGACTTCAGGCTAATGTTCTAATTCATTATAGTTTAGAACACAGGAGACTTGATTCTACAATGAATCAGGCAGGTAAAAGATAAATTGAGAAGTAAAATGAAGTGCCTTATGTCTTGTGTTAAATCTGAGTACTTGATGCTGTGTTTGGTTTGCTTAGTTTGTATTTAAAATTCAGGCAATTGGCTGCTTCCACTGAAATGTTAGTAAAATGAAATTATTTCTAATATTTAATGTGTTTGTTTTTATTTACAGATGACATGGCAGAGCTTCTTCTTGGGGAGTCCAAACTAGAACTATTTTTGAAGGAAAATGCTCTTAAACAGAGCAGTAGCCCACGGGGGCCCGGGCCAAAGCTGACTGAGGTCAGGAAACATCTCACGGCAGCACTTGATAGGGGAAACCTAAAGGTATGTGTCAGTCTGAGCACGTATTAAAAAAGCTGAAATTGATTGGAGTACTCTGCTGATCATGGAGAAAAATGTGCAAAGTGCTTGTGTTTAATATCATTGCTATTCCCAGAATCAGCACTATGCTGTTTCATGGCTCTTTGTGTCTTTGTGGACTTTTATTCAGCTGAATTTCCCAAATCTTTTTCCAGTAGAGGAATAAACAAATAGCTATTGACTTCAGGATGCTTAAGTGAAGTACTTAGAATCTGTTTTGATGAAGTTTTTCTTGGAGTATATAACTATATTATTCTCTGTAGTGCATTAAATAGAAGTGTTAAAAAATGCAAAATACTTCACAGATTTCTGTAGTAGTCTGAAATACTCAGAATAGGTTCCTTAAGTTATGTTTGTGGGTGCAAAAAGTGAGGTTAATATTGAGAGCATTTTCTGCCATAACGTTTTGATGTTCTTCACCATTCCAGCCCTTCTTGTACTTAAGTATTGTTGTAGCTGCTACATCAGCTTATCCTTTCTGTACTCAATGTCCGCCTATTTGAACTCAAAAGAACCTTGTTTTACAGTAATCTGTAATGTTTCTTTTCCTATGATTTGTGGGAGTATTAATTTCTCTTCCTTTTCTTTCTTTATTCTTCCATAAATCCTTTTTTTTTTCCAAGACATTTTTTCTGCCCTGATACTTTGAAATCATGTGAGTTAAATATATAGGCTATGGAACATATATAATGAAGTTCTGATGCTGTGTTATTTTCCACTGTGCTTGTGGTGTTAGAAAATCTCATTGGAGGGGTTGTAATGGTAGGTTGCTTTTGAACAGTTTTGTCACCCAGAAAAGCTGGATTCTGACTGAGAAGTATTTATGATGTATGTGTAAATAAATATGTGAGTATATAAAATGACTGGTAGTGCTTTTCAGTACTGGTGAGTGAGTGGTGGAGTGAGATTTTGTGGTTTCACCCCCTACCCAAGCTTCCCAAATATTACATGAAGACAGAATTCTGTTGGTTTGCTCTGTTACTGCTGAGGGTTTATACAGTGAATATATACAGAAAACAGACAAAATAATTATCAGAAAGAATTAAGTGTGTTCTATCATAAAAAAAAACTCCTTTCTATTCCTTTTCCTTCTAGCCAGAATTCCTACAAGAAGCTAACCTAATTATGGCCAAATTAAACTATGTGGAAGGAGATTACAAAGAAGCTCTGAACACATATGCCAGAGTTGGAGTTGATGACTTGCAGCTAGCTGCAGTGCCACCATACAGGCTACGGATGATTGCTGAAGCATATTCTACTAAAGGTAAGATTACTCTTTCCAGTATAATAATGTGGAAATAGTTTTTTAAAATTTAATTCGTATCTTGTCAAATTCTAAAGAATTTTTTGGCATGGTGGAGTACCACGTTTATAGATAAGTAAGAGTATGACTTGGCTGCTTTAAATTATTCAGTGTTTGTGCTAGGTTTGAAAAGACTTGAACCTCAACTAATGTTGTAACTGTGCTGCCACCCAATCAAATTTTTTGATACGTGTATTTAGAAGTCCTTCCAAATGTAAATGTCCTAATAACTATGGCTAGGTGCTAGAATTACTGTCACCGTTGCTGAAAGATAAGAGTTCCAGAAGTAGTGCAGTTTTTTGTGCAGTTTTGCAGTTGCTGTGAGCAGAATTGGAGAACGTTGATTCCCATGTGATAACTTTTACTGAACGTTAAATGCTCAACCTAAGCTAAATTGCTTAACTAAACTGTTGAGAAAAATAGTAATAACATGGTAAACAGTATGTTTCTTATGCAGTTTTATTTTTAATTTTTTCTTACATAAATATATTCTAAAAAGTCAGAAAGTGAATTTAATTTTTATTTTTTTTTAACTAGTCTGGTATAGTGAAAATTGTAATTCTGGCCTTGTGTCTTAAGGTGGCAGTGCCACTTCAGTTTAGAAAATTCATTAGTAGTCTAGGCAGGGTCAGCGTGTTGAGAGAATTGGCAGTCTGTATGCTGTAGGTGTATTAGGATTAACTGTGTCTAAATGTTTGCTTTGGTCTGCTGGTGTTTAAGTTTGGGTTTGGTTGGATATGTACTTTCTGTTATGGCAAGAGGAGTTTCGAAGTCAGTGAATACAATTTATGAGAGACTTCAATAGCATTCAGTGACAACTGGTCAAGGATTGTTTCTAATACTAGTCTTGGAAGAGAGTGACTATTTTCCACCAACACAGTCCTCTAGTAAATATTAGATAAGCGTGTATCATTCTCTATAGCTATGTCAGGGAAATAAGAGAATTAACTGATAGCAGAGACAAAAGGATGCTTCCTTAATCTGGGCAATATTTAGATTCAAGTGGGAAGAGAGTACATGTGGAGATCTTGTATGTGACATAAGTCTGCCCAGTTCTCTCATTCAGTATCTCTGTGGGCTTTCTGGCAGTGTCTGGTATGGGTAGACTTCCACCCAGCTCTGTGATGTCTGGTTATATTTTGGTTTGGTTTTTTTAGATCTATGAGGATATCTGTTGAATTTGTCATGTTCGTTCCATGGAAATGCAATCTTGGACATGATCAACTTTAAGTAACTGAATTTGCTTATATCTCCAAGGAATCCCAGTAATTTAATTGAATCTTTTCCCAGAGCTCAGCTCTTCTGGCTCATTTTTATTTGACCTCATAAGGATATATAAAAATTGAAACGTAAAGGCATCAATTTTGCAGGAAGGATTAGTAATACTGATTTTATCTAATGTTAAAATAGTTTATTAGAAAATAGTAAAATATGTGTCTTTCCTACCCTGGAATGTTTTATAGGTTCAGTTTATTAAAAAAAAAACAAGGGAGAAGAAAACCAGCATGTCTTCTGCCAAGACATAGAGCAGTTTTTGCCTATGATTTAAAATGTTATACATAAACATTTAAATATGTCATACCAAGCTTTATCTAATCTTGATCAGACTTCGTTAGTTTGGTCACTTCTACTGGGTGACTGGCTACCAGTTTATGTGAGCAAACTGAGCAAACTGTTGATTTGTTGTTGTTCTGTTCATGTTCAGAATAATTTTTTTTTTGTGATTTTGTTTCCAGTTTGAATGGGAGATTTAATATCCCTTTTTTCCCATGGTAGCAGGTTGCAAGAATGTCTTCCATGTGTTCTAGCATGAAATAGAAGTCACAGAGCAGTCTTAATTTAGTATGTGAAGTTTAGAGTAATTGACATATGTTTAGAGTAATTGGCAGCTAAATAGTATATGTTTCTACCCAGTAATGTACAGTTAATTCTCACTCTCTTTCCCCTTCTGCTGGAGTTTCTTCTTTCTTCTTGTAAGAGTGGACTATTAAACTTTTCGGTCTGATTTAAGAGTCTCTTTGGATGTGATTGAGGCTTGTAGTTATTACCCAGCTAAATAAAAGTTATTCTTACCAGGTTTTGTGCTTCACTGGGATTCGTATTTCTTGTTGCAAGTTCAAGGATAACCTGATTATGTAAAGACAAAATTGTTCTGGGTATTCAGATTTCATTTCTTTGGCAGTCATGAACTTAGCATCATGTTATTAAGCAGTGAGGGACTATCTGTGCTGCCTTTTGGCAAGCATGAGGCCACCTGCTCTACTCAGTGTGCCCACCTGCACAGCAGCAGTTGAAGTTACCTGGTTTTTGTTGCCCCATTTCAATCCAGATTAGGGCAAATTGAGTTCCCGTAGATTTGCAGTCTTGTATGCTGTTGTGTAGCGATCTGACGCTGATGTACTTACCTCTGACAAAGGCATAGGGCAGATAACGAATGGTAGTTTTTAATTGCCTTAATTTTTTTTATTTTTTTTTCTTATTTAAGGTGGGACCACCTCCATGTGCTTACCTCCTCACTCTGAGGTGTCATTCTGTAACCTCAGAAGTGATAGATTGAGTGGGATGCTTGAGTTGACATGCTTGTTCTTCTACAGTTGTTACAGGGTACTAAGGGAGCACATTATGCTGTAACCCTAGGCAGTTAACAGTTCACAACAAGCCCTCAGAAATGACCTGCTTCCCATATGCCCCGTCTTAGACTTGGTTGTGGAACTTACAAAGCATGCATTTTTGTTCTTCACAGCAAAGAAAGATTCAGCATATGTGTATGGATGCAACAAAGTGCAAAAATGGGTTCTAGGTCAGGTTCAAGCTAAAATTTGCTGGAGTTTTATCTACTGATGGCTGGAAAGAAAGGGAGGAGGAACAGCAGTGCTGACAATTGTAGGGAGAAAAAATAGAATCAGAACATGGCAGGGGAAGTGAGATCCCCAAACACTTGCTCTGCTGTGTAGGGTGTGTATGTATTTCTGTATGTGTATATATATGTGTATGTGCACATATATAAATATACTTCTGTATGTATTTATATTGTTAGAAAGTAAGATGTTTCAAAAATCAAAAGAGGAGTATTCTTACTGCCTCTTCAGACTCTCCAAAGTGAGTGTGTCTGAATGCATTATCTATCAAGGTTGTTTGTAAACCTCACTGCAAAATACTCATTAAATTACAATAGTCTTCATTAAAAAAGTAATCATTACAATATTCCAGAATATGAAATTTAATGTCTTTGCACCCCTGCAGTCTTCGACTTGGAATAACTCTGTCATTAAACCAAAGAACTAAAGCCATCTAGTGCCTGCAGCGCACGTACATATTTTTTTAATTACATAAATTAATTAAATGCATGTATATTTTTAAAAGAATGTTTTTAATTCTCTGTGCTGTTTATAGCTCTAGGTGAGGACAGCATATTCAGAAGTATATAAGTGAAAGGCATAAGACAGAATGATAGTAAGTCAAGCAAAGGGTTCAAAGGCTCTCAAAACCCAGCAAGGAAGATTAAACGATTGTTAGTCTTTTCTTGGAAATGTCTAGTTAGCGACATGCTGCTCCAGATCTTCCGAAGAAAGCTTCTTGATAGCTTTGTCAAAATGCAACATTGTAAAATTTCAATGAAATTCTAAGAAAATCCCATCAACTTTTCTGTCTCCTTGACAGACAACTCTTTGCCAGCCTGTGATGTGCAGGGAACCACAGGGCCTGAGTGCCCGAGCAGTGCTGGAAAGTGGTTTCTGTCTGTTGCTTCTCCTAGAGAAAATGTTCAAAATTGTAAGTGTGGTGATAAAGGCACTGCTGTATTTCATCACACCAAGAAAAGCTCATGGCCAGTTGATTGTAATCATGAGGGGGGGATAAAAAATGTTTGGAAAGAAATTCAAGGAATGAGACAAGTTTGGGTTTTTTGTGTGTTTGTTTTAGTTTTATTGGTGGTGGTGGTTTTGTTTGTGTGCTTTTGTGTTTGTCGTTTGATTTGGTTTGGTTTGGTTTGGTGATGGGTTTTTTTGTTGGTTTTTTTTTTTCCTCTGGCTTTGGCAACAAAAGCCACTGGTAGCAGTGATCTCTTACGCTTTACCTTGAGTAGAAGAAGATGCAGGAGTGGTCTGCTGAAAAGTGGTCTGCTGCTGTGTCCATTAAGCCAGCAGACTAGCTATGTGAATATGCATGAAACAAAGCCTCAGAAACTTGATTAGCATAGGTCTGGGCTCAGCACAGTTTAGATATCCCTCATGGAAAAGTTGTGAGGAGGTAACTTCCATGCAGGACACATAATGTAGTGTAATTCCAGAATGTTCCTGCCTTTCTTCACCATTCCCTCAAATTCTCAAGTCAAAACCAGACGTGTAGTAGAGGATGATGTTCTTTTATGTGCTGAACTTTGTGCATTTTTGACCGTACACGGATTTTATATTTTTTTTTTGGTATGTGTACCCATAGAACACAGTTCTAGATTAGATCTAGTGTATTTTTTGCTTTAAGAAAAGAGCTGATTTCGATACAGTGCTTCTGAGTAATAATTCTGTGTTTCTATGGTAGAAGGTGTTGTGTGGGATAAAGTATTAATAAAATCATAGTTGTGATATTAAATAAAGAATTTTCTTAGATTCAGACTTACTTGAAGAAACTGAGTGGGGCAAATGTCATATAAAACACTGAAATGAAAAGATGGAGCTTTTCAAATCAATAGGCCACTTTAGTATTTGGAAAAACAAGAGACTACTTGTTTGAGTCCATTGGTTAGTTTTTCCCCCATCTGCTTGTAATGACATTTGACATGATAACAGAGGAAAAGCATCTGATAAAGCAGTTTTCTGAAACAGAATGTCTGTGTTTGAAGGTGCCAGCTTATTTCAAGCAGGTGTAACGAAGGAAAGAAAGATAGGCATAAAAGGAGGACATTGCTGAGGACATGGGCTGATTAGTATGACTGTTGTCACGAAGTGTTAGCCTGAAAGCAGGTA